TTACAAATGAGGACAAGGAAGCAATTTACACAACTATAAGAGCAACAATGAATAAGTGCCATTGCAAGTTTCAGGTCTGTAAAGTCTAAGAAGGAAAGTATTAGTACTTTTTAGTATTTTTTTTTTTTAATACAGTTAGTGGTATATCCAGAGAGGCAATTGCAGATTAGGAAGTGAAGTGGAGACTAAATAGTTGAGTTTTTAGTCGTTTCTTGAAAACAGCGAGTGACTCTGCCGTTCTGATGCAGTTAGATGCAGTAGTTCATTCCACCAACTGGGCAGATTGAACGCGAGCGTTCGGGAAAGTGATTTCTTCCCTCTTTGGGATGGAACCACGAGGCGACGCTTATTCACAGAATGATCAGTGGAATGAAGTGTCTGGATGGAGTGTAGGCCACAATCAGTTGAGATACATAATGGGGGCCCAGACCATGTAAGGCTTTATACACACAAAAAAATTGTTATTAGACATTAGTTAGTTTGGAATGTTCCCAATGATATACCTCCTGAATTGTACAGTGGACCTTTGTCTTGATTGTGATTGAGAACAAGGGGTAAACTTTTGTATTTATTTTGGAAAAAAAAAAAAAAAAAAATATATATATATATATATATATATATATATATATATATATATATATATATATATATATATATATATATATATATTGCTTTAAAGAATTTGTATGCAAGTGAATGTACAACAAGAACTTCTGTGCATGGATATTAGATCCACAATTGTTTAATCGAGGAAAATAATGAAGAAAAATGTTTTAAGAAAATAAATAAATAAATAATTAAAAATATTATGTTTAATAATGTGGCATTTGCTCCGTTAAACAGCATTTGGGAATTATTTGTATAACAATTTCACCTGAACTTCTGATCTTATTTCAAACTGTACTTTACAGACATTAACCTCACACATTCTTGACCTTTACATTTATTTGCAAGATCTTAAGTGGGTTATTCATTATTGCTTTTAGTATAGCTATAAATGTTAATAATACATAAAACATGTTTTACATAAAAAGCACCAAGAATAGAAACTTTTTTTTTTCTTATTTAGAGTTTCCTCACACTAAATCTGGGGTGCCCAAACTTTTTTGACCAAAAACCAAATGTCTTTGAGAGCTGTGGGCTGAAAGTTTAATTTGCCATTGGTTATTTTCTAACTTATTTTATAATGTTTAAAAATAAACCAAAAACATGACTTTAAATCATATTAACTAATGCCGTATACATTTTAATTATAACTTATTTCAATAAAAAGCAAACAATTTATAACACAATGCAGTTTAATGCTGATAACACAATTTGCTCACTGTTGACTGCATTGTTCCCTATCCATAAGGCGACAATACGTACATTCATTCATTCTTTTTTTCTTCTCGGCTTAGTCCTTTTATTGATTTGGGGTCGGAATGAACCGCTAACTTATCCAGCATATGTTTTACGCAGCGGATGCCCTTCCAGCTGCAACCCATCACTGGGAAACTTACACACTCATTCACACACATACACTACCGATAATTTAGCCTACTCAATTCACCTATACCTCATGTCTTTGGACTTGTGGGGGAAACTGGAGCACCCGGAGAAAATCCACGCCAACACAGGGAGTTCATGCAAACTCCACACAGAAATGCCAACTGACCCAGCCGGGGCTTGAACCAGCGACTTGTAAGGCGAGAAAAAAAAAAAAAAAGATCTGACTTATTTACATTTCATTGACACATTTTATTTCAGTAAGTTTTTTTTTATAGCTTAGCAATAAAACAATTGAACAAAAAAGATTACATTAAATTATAAATGGCAGCCTCTAAACCATCTTCATAATTCTCCCACTCTTCTCAGATGGGATGGTGGGCCAAATCAAAGGCTGTTTGTGCCAACTTTGTCCCGCGGGCCCTAGCTTAGTCATCTCTGCACTAAATTAACAAACAAACAAAAACATTTAATGCCACTGAATGTGTTCAACACATACAGTAAAAGACTAAATTAGTATCTATCCTGCAAAAATTATAATTATTTTTCAAAATATTCCAACTGCTGTTTAATGAAGGGATTTTTTCAGCACATTTTTAAACATAATAGCTATCATACATTTCTAATATCTTAATTATTTAGTCTTTTTCATGATGACAGTTCTAACTCTTTACCTGTTATTATGCAAGATGCTAGTATTCAGCTTAAATGGGCTATTTAACTAGTTGACTTATGTTAACTAGGCAAGTTAGGTTAATAAGGCTAGGTTTTACTGTAGCCAATTGAAAACAGTATTATTTATTTATTTAATTATTATTATTATTTATTCATTCATTTATTTTTAACGAACTGAAAGAAAAAAAGACTTTCTCCAGATGAAAACTATAATAGGAAATAATGTGAGAAAACATCCTTGCTTTGAGCATCACTTGGGAACTATTTTAAAAAGAATAAAAAAATGAACAATAATTGTGTCTTCAACTATTTATGTATCAGATTATAAAAGAATCATGACATAATTTGGAGCACAACATCATGTTTTCCTTTCTATCATGCACAGTTTTGATGACAAAATACAATTGCAGTTGAATGTAACACCTGTGTTGGTGTTAAATAAATAGTTGACGTCAGGTTCATCCTGGAGTTGTGGTCAGTCCGTTTGTTTTGAGGTGAACTTGCCTCCAGTTTGGGAGGAATGGATGCTCTCCAACACAGGCTCTTTGAACTTGAAAACAAAGCCTCTTCCTTAATCTGACAGCTAATGAAACACACATGATGCACTGACTAAGAGAACGTTTGTGTGTTCTTGTGCACACAGTTGGAGGGGATCATACATAATTACTTCATGCTGCGCTTCAATTGTTTTTCCTTTCTTAGCCATCAGATGCTCCTGGTCTGAGGCTTTAGGAAAACTCCAGCAATTCTCCCACCAAACACAACATAAAGCCAACAAACACATGAAGTCACTGAAACTCTCTCACACACACAGTCCTCACAAACACACACATTTCTCTTTAATTCACCACATTCCTCCCCTCCTACTTCACCTCTTTAAATACCTTGAGCTCAAACAACAATTAGCCATCCTAAAATTAGTACAAATTGTGCATTGACTGAGAACCTGTCAAACCTGTCCTACCTGAGGCTACAGATCACACCTGTTGCTGCACACCGACTATAACTGCTTCAAAACAGAGCGAGGCTCTTGGCTAGACTACATTATTAACATTCTTGTGAACGAGAAGCAGCATTAGGTTTATTTCTGTGTGTCATTACAACTGGCATCAGATGTAGGATTGCTGGAGAGTTTAATCCCAGAGTACACTGTGACTCGGGATGATTAAAATAATCATTTTATAATGACGAATGATAATAAGGATAAATTGCAGGCCCTGGAAATGCTAACTTTTAAAAACGGGTTATATGCAAGTGCAATTAAAAAAACAATACTATAATTGCATATAAATGGAGTTTTAAAGAACAAATCAGGAATAGTTTGAACAATATTAACTTTTATTCAAGTACTTTCCGAAAATGCAATTGAAAAGTGTTTCAGTTTATTGTTGTGCAATACTAAACTCAATGGAATGTTTATCCAAGATTACAAGATATGTTTGAGGTCAGTGAGATTTAAAAAACTAAAAAATATATACTTTTAGTAATTACAATAAAATATAGCATAATTAAATGTTTGTGTATTTATTTATTTATATCTAACACAGCTTATAAAAACATTAAGATATTTAATACATTATTAATAGTAGCATAGAAAGGAGCATTAAATACAAATGTGTAGTGCTGTGTGATTAATTGAAATCATATCGAAATCGCGATTTGAACATGCACAATTTCTAAATTGCCTCACAGCACGATTTTTTGCAAAGTCTTTCTTACACACACAACGTGATGTACTCTGTAGTAAAATAATAAAAAAATAAATAAAATAATAAAGCCACATTTGTCAAAAAATATTTTAGCAAATTTGTTTAGATATCTTATACTATATTCAATCTTTTCCTTATCCTGTGTTTATTAAGCAATGTGTAAGAGTTTGGATTATGTAAGCAAATACTGTAATTAACGCAATCTGCGTTGAAGTTTAGACCAGCCATTACTTGGTCAATTGTGCAGTCTATTTCAGTTCCTCACAACAGCAGAGCACCAACAATGCACCTTAACACATGGCTATTTTAGACCAGCACACCCATGAGTCCACAAAGTGGTGCAAATGGATTTGCTATTTAAACAACGTGGTGCAAAACATAAAAAATTAAGCTTGCGCTGGTCTGAAAATAGCAACAAATCGCACCAAACACATCTTGCGCCTTATAGCGCTGGGTGTATGATAGGGCACAAAATGTTGATTTGAGTTGATCTATTAATCAAACATAAAGCTTTGCTGTTTCACCTAATATGTTGAGTTCTGTTTACTTTTATACTAAAGAGGTTTGTTATTAGCAGAGCAACATGCTAATAGCACATCTCACTTTTTTGATTGCTGCTTTGAGTAGTTCTTCAGTGTTTCCTTCTAGCTAGTTTCAGTAAGAATGTTTTAGGTAGGCATAACAGTAGATAGCAAAGCAGCTCACTAGGTTTCTGTATCGGTGATTATGTCTTAGCAAGATCCAGTATCTTGTCTCCTCACTGCAGAAGTGTGCTCATCACAACCGTCCATCTGTGAATCCCATCAAAGCTCAATATCGCTTTTCCCGTGTTTCTTGGAAAACTCTGAACCAGCACGAAAGACAATGTGTTTTCCAGGGATTGATAGAGTTAGCATGTGTCTGCAAATGTGCTGAGATGTGCAAGTCAGGGATGTTTCTTCCTTTGGATTTTGTCACTGCTCCTTGTGGGGGGAATTAAGACTCTTGACGTCATATCGGGATATTTTAGCATTAGCATAACTGTTCTGTCGAGTTCCCATACATGCGAACCCAAGGGCTCTGGTGTTTTTGTTTGTTTGTTTTGAATGTGACTGATAAATGTAATAATCCTCGATTCTCTCTCTGTAGGCCGTGTGGTGGAGGAGGCAGGGGGGACGGCTGGACTCTTGGCAGGCTGCAGTGTGCGGAGCTCTTGCAGGTGTGTGGGATTAGCCTCAGCGCAAAGGTCTGGGAAAGAGAGTGAAGGAGAATGAGAGATAGAGATTTCGGGATGGGGTCCAAAGCCAGGAATATTCGAGCTTTACCCAGGCGCATTCCTTTTTAATTCCGCACAGGTCAAGATAGTCACATCAGGTTGTTCACCAGCTGGTGTGTACCGACTGAGTGGGAATAATCAGCCAATTATAGGTGGAGAGGAAGTGTATGACATCGACCTTTTATTGCCCCAACATTAAACTCTCTCCCTGCTTCCCAGTGTGTGTACTATTAATACAAGATTTACTTTGATTTTTTTTTTTGTCTTGTTTCTAGTCCAAATATTTAAAAATTCTTAAATCAGGAAGTATTTTCTGGGCAAGCAAAACATATTGTCTTGTTTTAGGAATTACATGCCAAGATAGAGTAAGTTTTTTTCTTAAAACAAGCTAAATAATCTGCCAATGGGGTGAGAAAAATAATCCCATGTCAAAAGCAGGAAAAGCAAGATTATTTTGCTTACCCCGTCGACAGATTATTTTTCTTGTTTTAAGGAAAAACCGCTTGTTTTTTTTTACACAGCGAATGCCCTTCCAGCCGCAAACTGGTTCTGGGAAACACCCATACACACTCACATTCACACACACACACTCGTACATGTGTTTGGACTGTGAAGGAAACAGAGCACCCGGAGGAAACCCACGCAAACATGGAGAGAACATGCAAACTCCACACAGAAATGCCAACTGGCCCAGCAGGGACTCGAATCTGCGACCTTCTTGCTGTGAGGCGACATTGCTAACCACTGAGCCACTGTACCACCTATTTTTAGATATTTGAACTAGAAACAAGACAAAATTAACAGTACATACAGTAACTGTATCTCAAAGCAAAGTATGTTGGAAATTTATGCTACTGGATATGCTTCTGTTTCCAGAAGAGTTTCAAAGTGTGGATTTGTGCACACTGTAAAACACAAAAATAAAGAACTACAAACACTGTGGATTGAGAGGAGATGAAGGGAGAAAGGGTTGAATGGTTGTGTATTATAAAAAAAAACAAGATTAATAAAAATGGTTAGAATTAAGGCATAGACTGCTGTATGGTGAAAAACATACAACAGAATAAACTCAAAAGTATAAATACACAGAATATTATGAACCAAATAAGGCACAGGTGAAAAAAAAAAAAAACCTACTTTCAAATCATCATGATATCCAAGGAAACAGAAAGATGCTGAAACTAAGGACTGTATCATACACCCAGTGCAATAAACAAGTTTAGATTTGTCCACCTGTTTTGGAGACGTATGCATCACCATATGGGGCATAAGAATTGGACGTGTAAAACTCTTCTTTTTTTTTTTTCTTTTTTTTTACCACACTTCATTATTATTGTTCATTTATTAGTTTGCTGGAAATTAGAACTGAATTTAGAAATAGTTCGAAATTCAGTTCTAAATTAAATATGTATGCTAATAGATGTCTTCAGTGGAGTGCGTACAACACCGTTTCCTTATTCACGAAAGCAAAGGAGTAAAGTAAGGAGTAAAAGTAAAGTAAAGAGAAAGAGGTCAAATGTAGGAGGCTCAGTGTTTGTTTGTTTGTTTAACTGTTTTTTTTTCACTAGCGTAGCATTCAGTTTTTCCACTTACAAAGTCCACCTTGTAAATAGCAAATGCACCATGGCGCGACCCAAAACACACCCATAACTAATTAAGAGAATAAGCACAACCCTGTTAGACCATGTACTGGGGAGCAGATTGTATTTTTCCATCCTTAAAATAGCAAAAGTAGATTCATGTCATGTTGATAAATAATGAATTCACCCAAATATTTAAATTAGGTTCTTAATTACTCCAATTATCCAATCCCCTGGGACCTTTGTTCATCAGCTAAACACAAATTAAGATATTTTAGATTGAATCAGAGAGCTGTCTGATAGATAACATGGACAGGGTCATAAGACACCAATAAAACTGTAAAGGGAAGTTTTTTTTTTTTTTTTTTTTTTTTTTGTACGCAAAAGTGTTCTTGGAGCTTTTTATATTTAAGTAGATTCACTGAAGTTACATGCAAAATTAAAAGTTTTTGGTACCTTTTCTGGATGACCTTGCCTTTTATGGGGGTCAGAGAGCTCTTTTTTAGTCTTAAATATCTTAATTTTAGTTTCGAATATCAACAAAGGTCTCAGTGGATTTGAAAGACATGAGGGTGTTCACAACAGAATTTTCATTTTTTTAACCTATCCTTGAAGGGCTTTGATAAACTATATTATATTTCTACTGAAACAATACAAATAGCACATTAGCAGAACAGACATGTTATGTCTTACAACACTTAATTGCATCATTATGCAAAACATAAAAGTCAGTCTTCTGCTTAAAAAGCCCAGATGGCAGATCCACATGCTTTTTTTTTTCAAAATATAGAAACAAGTTTGCAATGTACAGTTAAAGTCAGAATTATTAAACTTCCTGAATTATAAGCCAACTGCTTATTTTTCCCCAATTTCTGTTTAACAGAGAGATTTTTTCAACACATTTCTAAACATAATAGTTTTAATAACTGATTTATTTTCTCTTTGCCTTGATGACAGTAAATCATATTTTACTAGATACTTTTCAAGACATTTCTATATAGCTTAAAGTGACATTTAAAGGCTAAGCTATGTTAATTAGGTTAACTAGACAGGTTAGGATAATTAGGCAAGTCATTGTATAATGATAGTGTGTTCTGTAGACTATCGGGAAATAAAATATAGCTTAAAGGGTCTAATAGTTATGACCTTACGTATTTTATTTATTTATTTTTTAATTGAAAGCTGCTTTTATTCTAGCCGAAATAAAACAAATAAGACTTTCTCCAGAAGAAAAAAATATTATAAGTTTGTACGTTTGTATTCAACAGTAATCCGAATAGAGGTCAATGAAAGCATTAAATTAACAATGTCACAGATAATAACCAACAAAAGATACTCTGGAGTATAAATACACTTTGTTGTAAAAGATCAAACAAGACACAGGTAAGCACAACCATAAACCAAGAAAACAAATAAGATATCATGAAAACCAAGGCAAAAAACAAGCACACTTGGTAGGTTTGAATGATTTAAATGATCTAGTATGGTCAGTCCGTTAGTGCAAACTCTGAATATAAACTCTGCTACTGTGGTGTGCTAAAATAAGTGTACCGAGACAGTGTACAAGTGCACGGTTCAACTGAAATGTGAATTTCAACATGTACCGAAGACATTTAACAAGGATCAAAAATGTGCCTACTTATAACATATCTTTATTTGTGTGTGTGATGGAGGAATATCTGGTACTATTTTATAAGCTCACAAGTTTAAACACAATAAAAATAGCATCATATATGAGCTATGCACTCACAGCAAATATGTTAACTCCAACTTAGTGTTGGATTTTCAGTCAAGTTCTGATTCAAATTCTATATAATAAAAGTCTTTTAAAGGTTTGGTCTTTAATGACTCTGTTAATTGTGGTGAACTAAATTTATTTTTTAAATAGCTTTTTTTTTTTTTTTTTTTGATCTAGACCAAAAAACCAAGAGAAGTGAATGAACACAATTTGATGAATCCAACAACAAAAGAAATTAAATTATGCATCAAAGCACAATCTTACTTTACTTTTCTTAACAGTAAGTAAAGGAACATACATTTAGGGCATACTGTTATTTGGAAAATCGGGACAAAGCATCTGTCAGCAGACATTTAGTTTACAAACTAAATCCAGTGTACAGGTTTGTCCTGAGGGAGCTCAAGTCTGGCCCAGGAGCTCTTCCAGCTGTCTGACTCTCCAGTCTCCATTCTGGAAAATATCTCAGTCCAGAGTGATAAGTCATCATGTACTGATACACAATGAAAGAACGAGGATGCTTGAACCAGAGGGGAAAAAACGTGGCTGTTGGCCATGACACCTGGAGAGAGCTGTTGAATTGGGATTGTGTTGCGCACATGTGCTGCTTTGGCAAAGACATATTACTTTAGGTGGTTTGCAGTTGTTGGCGTCATTGTGCAATCGCACAAACAAAAGTGAATTGTGACTCATTGAAAGGTTATATTTGCTTACCGTCATTGCCACAGCTGCAAGTCTGAGGAGAACAAACGAGAAACATATATTTCATTATTCTAAATTGTATTGTTCTTTTGTTTTTTTTATTTTATTTCTCCCAAAATTGCAGGCACACCTAAAGCTT